GCGTTCAGCTCCCCTATGGAACCTCAGCTCCCCTATGGGCCCTTAGCTCCACTATGGGTCAACAGCTCCCCTATGGGGCAACAGCTCGCCTATGGACCCTCTGCTCCCCTACAGGTCAACATCTTCCCCTATGGGGCAATTGCTCCCCCATGAGTCAATATCTCCCCTATGGGTCAACATGTCCACCATGGGTCAACATCTCCCCTATAAGCATTCAGCTCCCCTATGGGCCCTCAGCTCCCCTATGGGCCCTTAGCTCCACTATGGGTCAACAGCTCCCCTATGGACCCTCTGCTCCCTCGTGGGTCAACATCTTCCCCTATGGGCCCTCTGCTCCCYTATGGGGCAACATCTTCCCCATGGGTCAATATCTCCCCTATGGGTCAATATGTCTCCTATGGGCCCTTAGCTCCCCCATGGGTCATCATCTCCCCCAAGAGCTCTTGTGTCCCCCTTGGCCCATCATCTCCACCATGGGTCAATACCTCCCCTGTGGGTCCTCATCTTCCCCATGGGCCCTCAGCTCCACCATGGGTCAACATCTCCACCTGGGTCCTCATCTCCCCCATGGGCCACTGTGTTCCGTGTGGACCYTCATCTCTCCCATAGATCCTCATCTCCACCATGGGTCAGCATCTCCCCCATGGGCCTTCATCTCCACCCGGACCATCATGTTCCATGTGGACCCTCATCTCCACACTAGGGCATCATCTCTCCCATGGGCCCTAATTTCCACCCTGGATCAACATCTCCACCTGGGTCCTCATCTCCCCCATGGGCCCTAATTTCCACCCTGGATCAACATCTCCACCTGGGTCCTCATCTCCTCTATGGGCCCTTGTGCTCCATGTGGACTCCCATCTCTCCCATGAGCCCTCATCTCCACCATGGGTCAGGATCTCCACCATGGGCCTTCATCTCCACCCGGACCATCATGTTCCCTGTAGGCCCTCATCCCCATCATCCTCACCATGGATCCTCATCTCCACCAGGGCCATCATCTTCCCCCGTGGACCATCATATCCACCATTGTCCACCACGTCCCCATGGTCCATCACCCGCATCGTGGTCCATCACCCCACCATGGTCCATCACCCCTACTGTGGTCCATCAC